TCTCTCTCTCTCTCTCTCTCTCTCTCTCTCTCTCTCTCTCTATCTATCTATCTATCTATCTCTCTCTCCCCTTGTTTTCCCCTTGATCTCTCTTTCACCTAACTCTCCCCATAGCCTTTTGTGATCTCTCTCTCACATCCACCACCCCCACAACCAATCACTTCTTAATGTCCTCTCCCTGCACCTCTATCTCTCTCTTGATAAATGATAAGTGCAACTTGATAAGCTCATCCTCCTATAATTAGTCGGCTTGCCTCTCCAACACTTTGCTCAGCTACAACAGCTTTTACAGACCAAATTAATCTCAAACGTTCATGCTCTATACTGGTTTAATCTCAGCTGTTTGTGCATAACCGTTTTGTCAGCTTCTTCCTTATATTATGTATTACTATAGCTGTATTGAGATTATGAAAGATGAGATATACATTCTGCTGCTATTCTCCTTTTTTCTTCTAATCTTTGTACATGTTTTGATTCACTATTCTATGCCATGAATCTCTACATGGTATCAGAGCCAGCCAGCTGAATTCTTCAGTCAGCATCAATGGATTCATCGGCATCCTCTCTATCCCCTTCTGCCTCGATTTCGATCAAGATGAGTAATATGGAAATCCCAACATAGCTAAAGTTTTTAATGATGAACGTCAAAATGATCATCAGTACACAACTCACCACAGAGAACCATCCCATTTGGAAATCTCAAATCCTGAAGCTTTTTGCGACGAATGGCTTTGATGGTTATTTGGATGGTTCAACTGCTAAGCCACAGAAGCATCTGCTTGTGTCTAACGGAACCACCAGTCTTAATACCTTATCCTATGCTCCATCCACTTCTCAACATGCTTTTATTCCACCACCTCATCCGATGGTTACTCGATCTCGTACAGGTACACTTAAACCCAAACAGATCTTTGATCTCCATCATTCTATCATTCCTATTCAGCCAACCTATTTCTCTCAAACCGTCAAGTATGCCGAATGGCGCAAGGCAATGTCATCATAATTTGAAGCACTTCAAAATCAAGGAACCTGAACTTTAGTCCCTTCATCTCCACAATTTAATGTCCTTGGTTGTAAATGGATCTATCGGACTAAATTCAACTCAGATGGATCAATTGCTCATTATAAAGCCCGACTGGTAGCTCAAGGCTTTAATCAAGAATACGGACTAGATTACTTTGATACCTTCAGTCCAATGGAAAAATTTCCAACAATTCACATTCTATTTACCGTGTCTGTTACTAGAAATTGGCCTATTCTACATCTTGATGCCTCGAATGCCTTTTTACATGGCACCATTGATGAGACAGTCTACATGCTGCAGCCTCCGGGATTTAAAGATCCTCAACACCCAAATCATGTTTGTTTACTTAAAAAGGCTCTTTATGGTCTAAAACAAGCACCGCAACAATGATTTGCTACATTCACATCATTTCTCACCGATTTTGGCTTTAAGGTCAGCTTGGTTGATCCTTTTCTACTTTGGCTCTCTAAGGATTCTAAGTCGGTCTTAACTCCTATACCAACTAAAATTCCCATGTTAGAAGCTTCTATCAAGCTCTTTCACAAACCCGAATTATATATAGGCATGCAACTAGTTGGTTCTTTGCAATACCTCACCATTACTCGTCCTAATCTCTCGTTTGCTATTAATTTTCTTTGCCAGCATATACTTCAGCCATATTTACTGCATTTTCAACTACTTAAACGAGTTCTCAGATACTTATGTGGCACGCTTCACTTTGGTTTTCCAATACTTCATTCCTCTCTTGAGCTTCATGCTTACTCTAATACGGACTGGGTTGCTGATCAAACAAACCGGCGATCTATCACAGGCTATTGTGCCTTTCTTGGTTGCAATCTTATCTCATGGTGTGTTAAGAAGCAAACGACTATCGCCCGCTCTTCCACCGAAGCTGAATATAGAGCACTTGCTATTGCTGCTACTGATATTGTTTGGCTGCGTTGACATCTTCTTGATTTCCACCATACCAATTTTCGCTCGCACTTCTCTTTTTTCTGACAACGTTTCAACACTTTCTCTAGCAAATAATCCTATTTTTCATGCTCGTACAAAGCACATTGAAGTGGATTTTCATTTTACTAGAGATTGCTTCAAGTAGAATCATATTATTGTTCATCGTATCTCGTCAGTTGATCAACTAGCTGATCTCTTCACAAAACCGTTGTCTGCTACCAGATTTCAACTCTTATGCAGCAAGTTAACAATTCAGAAGAACCTTGCTAACTTGAGGGAGGGGGGGTGATAAATGATAGGTGCAACTTGATAAGCTCATCCTCCTATAATTAGTCGGCTTGCCTCTCTACCACTTTGCATAGCTACAACAGCTTTTACAGACCAAATTAATCTCAAACGTTCATGCTCTGTACTGGTTTAATCTCAGCTATTTGTCCATAATCGTTCTGTCAGCTTCTTCCTTATATTATGTATTAATGTAGCTATATTGAGATTCTGAATGATGAGATATACATTCTGCTGCTATTCTCCTTCTTTCTTCTAATCTTTGTGCAGGTATTGATTCACTGTTCTATGTCGTGAATCTCTACATCTCTCACTTTCTTTGATCACCCCTCTTCCTCTCTCAAATACTCTCACCTCTAACCGCAAACTCCACTCTTTCACGTTCCTCACCACTCCCCTCTCCCTCTCTACATTTTCTCACCTCCATCACCCCAACTCCACCATCAGCCATCTCTCTTTCCTCTCCTATTGCCCCTCTCTCCCACCTCACTGATTCTTTTTTCTTATTTTTTCTAAAAGTTACAAATGTATAATCAATTTATTTTTCATTACAATGTCTATGGTTTTTTCCAT